TCACGGAAAACATGTCTTTAAGATTACGTCTCTTTTTCAAGAACTTGGATCCAATCAAATTGAATTTCATGTGCGCTGACCGCTGATGACGTTTATTCAACGGGTCTTTCGGTCGGACATTATTGCCATAATTGCCTGTATTTATGATATACCGGAAGGGATTGCCGTATCTGTTGGGCCACAAGTGGTCATTAAATTTGTTTCGCAATAGTGATGTCGTCGTAATCGTCAGCATCTGTAACCATAAATATTTGTCATAATCATTTAACTTTTATAATGAATATTCTACATTATAATAATTAAGACTAATATGTCTACTAATTTTATAATATTTTAATGAATTTCTATTTTATAAAAGGTCCTGAATCTTTACTTTATGAATCTTTCGCAATTTATTGAAAGAATTTATTTCATTTTTGATTGTATTAATTAAAAACCGTATACAATATTATGAATGAAGTGTATGTATGAGTTGTTTACTTTATTTGGGTGCAGAATAGCGACGGGTTGTTCATTAGAGGCCGAGAAATGTGTGTCNTTTATTGAAAGAATTTATTTCATTTTTGATTGTATTAATTAAAAACCGTATACAATATTATGAATGAAGTGTATGTATGAGTTGTTTACTTTATTTGGGTGCAGAATAGCGACGGGTTGTTCATTAGAGGCCGAGAAATGTGTGTCCATATAAGCCGGTGCCACGTATGCCGGTGTTGGCGGCGGTAATGCTGTTGTCTTAACACCAAACGGCAGCTTAAAGTTATAATTCGCAAATGGATTCAAAAGTGTTTGAATTGGGTTTGAATTTAAATATAAGCCGTCGATAACGGGAGGCATTAGTGGACGGGGAGGAAATGGAGCGTAACTTTTCGGTCTCTTTTTCGTTTGCAATCTGGGCTTAGATTTAATCTTCTTTGGCGCTGGTCTTGGTATCTATTAATCAAATCAAATAGTTTTATAAATAGACACTAATTAGAAAGCGATACAAATAAAGGTTTCATTTAAAAAGACTTTTTTGTTTAGAGTATCAATGAGTGAATACACGACTCGAGCGCACACTTACTCTGGTATTGATTTTTATTGGCCTCACGTAAGAGGCTTTGTCATCGTTGGGCAACATTTGCTTGTTATTCATAAATTTGGAGATTTCGCGGATATATATCTCATTGTTAGGATTAGGGAATGCCGTCCCTTTTGTGACCATAATATTGGGATCACGGGTTGGATCCACCTTAGGCTCTGTCTTAGTCTCGTCGTCCATCAGCGCAATAATATGCCGACCATTCCCACCGTGGGGTGCATTACTATTATCACTAACCGAAGGGTAGACTTGATATTCAAAATATGGTTGATTTGTGGGGATAGGCACCTCGGCTGTCGGTGTCATTTCAACAACTGGTGGATAGTGTGGTGTAATGTATGGCTTATTTAAGTCATCATTTGTTGCCTTAAGAAAACTATTGTTGGGATAAATATGATGATAGAAATTAATTTCCTTAGGATTACGGCTATTGTATGAACTGTTGTCTAATTGACTGTGATTTTCAATTGAATAATCAATTTGTTGTTGATTGTGTTGAGTATTTGGTAGACCTGTGCTAGGAACTGGCTGATAATAGTATTCCTGATTATGATAGTATTGCGGAATATTCTGCACATGTTGTATATTTTCGTTATGGGTATTAGCACTCGAGCTATGGTCAGCCCCTTCTGATACTAAAGGCATAGAATAAGGATTAACTCCCGGACCATAAGACTCAGAGGTAATGGTAGGCATAGCCTTGTCGTCAATGCTCTCATTGACAGACTCCTCAATCTTTTGTCTATAGTTTTCATTGGCGTAAACATTATTGTTATGATTATAATCTTGATTTGTGTTATGATTGAAGTCATGGTTTACAGGTTTTGCATAAAACTCTTTATTATTGTGCAACTGATCCGTTGTGGTGATGATGGGTCGCCACGAGTACTGTGTATCCATTGCCGGCATATGAAAGCCATCTGTGACTGGATTCTTGTTATTTATGTCAGTTTCCGATAATAAAGTTTTCTGTGAAATATCCGTTTCATGTTCAGCCAAGGATTCATGAGATGGTAACGACTCGTGTGTTGGTAACGACGACTCCACAGAAGGCATCTCCTCATAAGGGCTGTGCTCTTCCACCACTCTCTGTTCACTTTCACCAGAATTGAGGCCATTATTAAAATATTTATTATAATTGCCTGAATCCACAAGAATAGTATCCTTATTGTTATTGTTATCCGCTTCCACTTCATAGGCTTTGCATCAAATAAAATAAATATAAAGATATTATTGTAAGCATTAAATTCTGTATAAAAGCAAAAATTGCATTATTTTTAGCAATACTAACAAAATGTGGAAAAGGATATTATTACTGTACTATTGGTTTAGGTTTTTATTTTGTTAGCATACTTATGGGTGCCTTANTATTTATGATATACCGGAAGGGATTGCCGTATCTGTTGGGCCACAAGTGGTCATTAAATTTGTTTCGCAATAGTGATGTCGTCGTAATCGTCAGCATCTGTAACCATAAATATTTGTCATAATCATTTAACTTTTATAATGAATATTCTACATTATAATAATTAAGACTAATATGTCTACTAATTTTATAATATTTTAATGAATTTCTATTTTATAAAAGGTCCTGAATCTTTACTTTATGAATCTTTCGCAATTTATTGAAAGAATTTATTTCATTTTTGATTGTATTAATTAAAAACCGTATACAATATTATGAATGAAGTGTATGTATGAGTTGTTTACTTTATTTGGGTGCAGAATAGCGACGGGTTGTTCATTAGAGGCCGAGAAATGTGTGTCCATATAAGCCGGTGCCACGTATGCCGGTGTTGGCGGCGGTAATGCTGTTGTCTTAACACCAAACGGCAGCTTAAAGTTATAATTCGCAAATGGATTCAAAAGTGTTTGAATTGGGTTTGAATTTAAATATAAGCCGTCGATAACGGGAGGCATTAGTGGACGGGGAGGAAATGGAGCGTAACTTTTCGGTCTCTTTTTCGTTTGCAATCTGGGCTTAGATTTAATCTTCTTTGGCGCTGGTCTTGGTATCTATTAATCAAATCAAATAGTTTTATAAATAGACACTAATTAGAAAGCGATACAAATAAAGGTTTCATTTAAAAAGACTTTTTTGTTTAGAGTATCAATGAGTGAATACACGACTCGAGCGCACACTTACTCTGGTATTGATTTTTATTGGCCTCACGTAAGAGGCTTTGTCATCGTTGGGCAACATTTGCTTGTTATTCATAAATTTGGAGATTTCGCGGATATATATCTCATTGTTAGGATTAGGGAATGCCGTCCCTTTTGTGACCATAATATTGGGATCACGGGTTGGATCCACCTTAGGCTCTGTCTTAGTCTCGTCGTCCATCAGCGCAATAATATGCCGACCATTCCCACCGTGGGGTGCATTACTATTATCACTAACCGAAGGGTAGACTTGATATTCAAAATATGGTTGATTTGTGGGGATAGGCACCTCGGCTGTCGGTGTCATTTCAACAACTGGTGGATAGTGTGGTGTAATGTATGGCTTATTTAAGTCATCATTTGTTGCCTTAAGAAAACTATTGTTGGGATAAATATGATGATAGAAATTAATTTCCTTAGGATTACGGCTATTGTATGAACTGTTGTCTAATTGACTGTGATTTTCAATTGAATAATCAATTTGTTGTTGATTGTGTTGAGTATTTGGTAGACCTGTGCTAGGAACTGGCTGATAATAGTATTCCTGATTATGATAGTATTGCGGAATATTCTGCACATGTTGTATATTTTCGTTATGGGTATTAGCACTCGAGCTATGGTCAGCCCCTTCTGATACTAAAGGCATAGAATAAGGATTAACTCCCGGACCATAAGACTCAGAGGTAATGGTAGGCATAGCCTTGTCGTCAATGCTCTCATTGACAGACTCCTCAATCTTTTGTCTATAGTTTTCATTGGCGTAAACATTATTGTTATGATTATAATCTTGATTTGTGTTATGATTGAAGTCATGGTTTACAGGTTTTGCATAAAACTCTTTATTATTGTGCAACTGATCCGTTGTGGTGATGATGGGTCGCCACGAGTACTGTGTATCCATTGCCGGCATATGAAAGCCATCTGTGACTGGATTCTTGTTATTTATGTCAGTTTCCGATAATAAAGTTTTCTGTGAAATATCCGTTTCATGTTCAGCCAAGGATTCATGAGATGGTAACGACTCGTGTGTTGGTAACGACGACTCCACAGAAGGCATCTCCTCATAAGGGCTGTGCTCTTCCACCACTCTCTGTTCACTTTCACCAGAATTGAGGCCATTATTAAAATATTTATTATAATTGCCTGAATCCACAAGAATAGTATCCTTATTGTTATTGTTATCCGCTTCCACTTCATAGGCTTT